AACTTAATGAAAACCCAAAGCGACATCCAGTATTGTGTATTGGAAAAATATGTTTTTTTTCAACGTGCCAAATGGGACAAATCGAAAAATGATAATGTTTTTGAATGTGCTGGAAATAACTGTAATGTAAAAGTACATGTAAAAGATAATAATTATTATATTGTTGGAAATCATACTTGTATTTTTGATCATGAACGTTTATTTTTGTCAAGATGTCGAATAGAAGCCGCAGATATACAATTTGTTAAAGGTCTAAGTGATACTCCGCGTGAAATAACAAAAAGAGTCATGACACGTGATTTTTGTTCAAACATGTCAATAAAAGACCATAGATCAATTAATAAATATATAACCAGACTACAAGAAAGACTTCTTGGAAGTAACCCCAAAACAATTGAAGATATCAATTTCACGGAAGTTTTGAAAACCACATTGATACCTCAAAATGAGTCTAATCCAGATAATACTTTTTTATTTTATGATTCTTTCACTGAAACTCAAACGCTCTCCAGATTTTTTATTTTTTCTTCTTGTACACAACGGCACATCGCCTCCAAGTCAGAAGAAGTGTTTGGTGATGGAACATATCGAATTACTCCAAACACAATTACATGTTTGTATACGTTACACTCTCTTATTGATAACACATGTTATCCAATCGCATTTCTATTACTTCCAAATGAGACAGAAGAAACATTTATTCGTGCTCTTAAAGTACTAAAGCCCTTTTTAATCAATGTTAAAATTGTACACTGTGATTGTCAGATTTCAGCATTGAACGCATTTAGTAAAGTATTGGGGAGCAAACATTAAATTATGCTTGTTTCATTTAAATCAAGCGGTGTTTAGAATGTTGGGCAAAAAGGGTCTTTCTATAGAATATATAGAAAATGCCAAATTACATCTATGGGTACGGCGACTATTTGGACTACATTTTCTACCAAAAGAAGAAATACACAATGCTTTCGAGAAATTATTCATTGGAATGTCAACATCTTTAGAATTTGGTGTACCTTCACATTTATTAGAAAAGTACAAAGAAGTTTTAAATTATTATAAAGATTTTTGGTTGAAAAAATTGCGAATGAAAAATGGTGTCAATTTTTCACAAAAAATAGGACAAATAATTTATGTGAAGCATTTCATCATGCAGTAGGTTTAGAGTTTCAAATTGCTCATCCAAGAATCGTGGTTTTGGTCGACATGTTAAGAAAATTGGATGACATGTGTAGGCAAAGATGGTTAGATATGACAACTGGAAAACACGAAGTTGCTTATCGACTTGCAACTCAAGAATTAAGCAGAAAATTGAATATTACAATGGAAAGTTATCAAAATGGAAAGTTTGAAAATCAACTGCAATATCTAGACGCAATTGGCAAGTTGTATATTGACTACAATTTTACAACAAAGGCGTCAAGAAGAAATGTATCCATTCGTGCAATAAATGCATCACAAAGATTGATAAATGAAATGTATATTATAATACAAGAACAACATAATCTAACTTTTGATGAAAATGGGACAAATTTAAATATATCAACTATCATCGAACCAAGTTATCAAAGTGAAATTGATTTTGAGTCAACAATAAAATCAATACACGAATACTATTCAACAGTACAATCAATTTTTGAAAAAAAACTGTGTTATCACATTGGAAAAAACAGAATGAAAGATGGAAAATGACCGAAATTGCGTAAAAAGTGGCATTAATACTTCAAAGATAAAAACAAAGAAAACACCAAAAAAGAGAAAAAAATTGACTATATGTCAGAAATTGAACAAAGAAAAACCTCGAAATCACAAGAAAAATATTGATTAATTTATTTTACTATTAAAATAAAAAACAATTAAAAATATATAATTTACATAATATAATAATTATGTTTTATTTAATACTTCTTTATTATGTTTAAAATTTGTTATGTATTTATACAAGATATTATATATAATCAGAAAAAAATAACAATTTAAAAACATTACAATGTTTTTCATATTTATTTGATTAGATTAACATAAATATAAATTCTAAATTGTTTAAAATAATTTTATTAAAGGGATTCATGAGGATTGTTAATTATTATGAGGATGGTAAATATCTTAAACATAATTTCTTTCAATTTAGATTTTTTTGCCTAAGATCAAAAAGGTATATTTTGAAACATGTGATTTTCTTTAAAAATGCTATTTATGGATTTTTTGAAAGATGATTCTTTCAGTTGATTTTTACAAAAAAAATAATCTACTTCTATTTTCTGATTTACCACAAGACTAACCTTGGTTTAAATGAAAACATTTGACAGACATTTAAATTATCGAAAAAGTCAATTTTTTAATCAAAATCACAAAACAAATTAATCGAACAATTTTTAATCTTTTTTACAAAAATAATTTATTATAAATCAATTCATGATATTTTAAACAATAAAAATTGATAGCAAATAACGTATTAATAACGTATACTCTATGCGATGACAATTTATGTATTTGCGCAAATTCAAAACGAGAGGTTTTGGATAACGATAAAACAACGATTGATAAATAAACAAATTTTTAAAATAAAATCATTTTTGTTTTAAACGGTTTTATTTATATTTCAAAACATATATACAAAAGAAATATATGTTTATATTATTTTTTATACAATATCAATTCTCAATAAAAATGTGTTCAATTTATTAATCAATTTTATATATTAATTGGCGTTTTTGTTGTGTTTTGACGATTTTTGATATAATTAATTATCAAAACCCACTTTATAAAAATTCTTTGATAATTTTATTTATATAATTTTAAATCAATAATGGCAGTGCTATAAATATCTCTGAGGATGGTAAGTCATGTAACAAACAGACTTTATCAACACAGACTTAAACATCTAAAAAGTGAAATGACGTGTTCCCATATTCAAAAATAGTAACTTACTCAATATACATTTCATACAGATGTAAAAGTGTAAACTTTCTATTTCTGTCATCCTCAGAAAATAATTGCCATCCTCAGAACTGTAAATCTGTTTAAAACACAAGTTAATATCAAAATGAAACATTCATATTAAAATATACACAATATGATTAACTTTGTTATTATAATAAATTTGAATAATTGCATAAATTACAGAATTATTAATAAATTTGTTATTTTAAAATTACATTTTTAGAAAATCAGTGTTTTCGACTTTTTCAATTTTCATTTTGATAAAAAAACAATTATCAATTTAAACGTACATTTCAATTATTATGTTATAAAGACGGATTCGAAAATAATATCAATAAGTATATAATTATAATATGAACAAGTACAATTAACACTTTATTATTTCCCGTCTCAAGTTCGCGAGATATAATTATTGTTTTTGTTTACTGATTATTGTGGCGATTTTTTGATTGTATTTAATTTTTTGGCATTTATGACAAATTATTACCATTATTTAAAATTCGAACTTTGACTCGAAATATTAAGTGTAAATTATAACTTGAGTTATGAAAATGGGCCTTATGGGGAACTGAACATTATGGATTTGATTTTTGTATCCTCAGAAAAATATTTTTTAATAAGGATAGCTTTAATCCTGAGGATACACCTTATCCTCAAGAAACCCTTAAGTATACAATTTGTTTATAATAACACCTATTATTTATATTTTTAATAATTTCTATTTTTATACCAACGTATGTTTATTGTATTTTACAATTGTATGATATTAATAACATTGTTTTCTAATTAAAAAAAATATTTATAGAAAATAGATATTTTAATGTTATAAATACAAAATATTTTAAGGGTTTCGACAAATATCTAAGTTGATAATTGTCAAAGTTGACAAATGTCTTTTTACCTCGCAAAAATAGTTGGAATTTCAAAAACCACAGTATCTGAATTAAAAAAAGGGAGAAGCAAAACCGACCAGAAAAAGTGTCCAGAGAACATATTCATATTGTAGTAAAACAAACAATTGATTCAATTCCAAAACGATTTAAATTATGCATCGAGAATCAAGTAAAATTTATAGGACATTTGCTTTAATTTATTATTTTTTTGGTTTTTAGAACTCAAAATTTTATTATCATTTGTATTGAAAGAGAAATTTCAAGTTTGTTTTTTTGTTTGAAATAAAAATTTAATGAAATTGATTTTTAGTATTTTGACATAAATGATTCGGATTCAATTCACTGAGATGTTTGTTGTTGTGTAATTAGCACAACTATACTGTGTGTGTTGTCTAGTACAATATTTAATTTTTGTTCAATCAATTAACGGGATTGGATTTTTTGGAAAAGGCTGGCTAATATTCCAATAAAGTCCCGATATTGTACAAAAATAACTAAACAAGGTTGGTATTTTTTCAAAATTAAGTCTGTACTTTCGATTTTTTGTTTTTTAGGAAAAATTAAAAATAAAAAACGGGACTTTAGGAAGTTTTATAAATACGGCGGTACAGACTTTTGAACTACAGTTTATTTAAAATACAAAAAAGTTGTTTTGTTTATGTTTTTAAAATAAAAAATTTGAAATCATTTTTTATTTTTTAATGGATTTCAAAAATTAGCAATAGTATATTTTTATAATAATTAATTTATTTATTAATTTGGATACAAGAAAACAAAATAATATATTTATCCATCAAACGTCCGAAAATAATTTTATTCAAATAAAACAAAAAAAAACAAGCTAGTAATTCAATTTTAAATAAATTTGACTTATAAATATAATCAATTATAAAAATGAAAATTAGTTATAATTTGTATTATTTTATAATAAATATAATCTAAATTTTAAATTAAATTTATTTGATTTATTATTATATTATTATTAATTTAGATTATATTTATATAATTCAATAATATTTAATAATTTTATTTCCTGATCGTTTTTAATTGTAATATAATTATTTATTATATTTATATATGTAAATTGATGTAATTTTAAAATATGTTTAATTAATACAATAAATTTCTATCACAAACGTTTTTATCGAATTAAAAAACATAAACTATATGCAAGAAGACGAGATTGTTGGCACATTTAAATGGAAAAAAGGAGAAGCACCAAAAAGCTCACGACACGTTAAAGCTTCGCCTGATCCGACTTACTCGTTTGATCACAAAGGAAGTAATTTAACTGA